TAACTTCTAGTTAGGGATATTAAATTTAGATTAATTAACTAATCAAATAGCCAATGGGATTTCCAGCAACTATTCAATTAGGGGATGTCTACACTTGCACCCTCTTTTGAGAGAGGGATCCAAATGAAGACATTTGAAATTGCAAATGAAGCCGGGATTTAAATATCCCGTGCTTCATTTGCATATTTGTGTTATGGCGCTATTTTGAAATAGCGCTATTTCAAAATAACAGATGCTGTTAAGATACAGTTATTTCGAGAGAAGAGTTTTCTCTCGAAATAACTGTATCTTAACAGCATCTGTTATTTTGAAATAGCGCTATTTCAAAATAGCGCCATAACACAAATATGCAAATGAAGCACGGGATATTTAAATCCCGGCTTCATTTGCAATTTCAAATGTCTTCATTTGGATCCCTCTCTCAAAAGAGGGTGCAAGTGTAGACATACCCTGAGCCTATAAGGGCACCTCCACCTTGCTACAGTTGAAAAGTGGAAGCCCCTAAGGGAGCGCAGGGCCCCGCACTTTGAGCCTGAGCCTTTGAAATGTACAACAGCCCCAGCAGAAGCCTGGCAGGGAGAGCAGGGCCAGTGGGGGACTCCTTGCTGGCCCCGCTCTCCTTGCATGCCTGAGCCTTTGAAATGTACACGAGTCCTGCCAGGGCTCTTGTACATTTCAAAGGGAGAAGCCCGGCAGGGAGCAGCCAGGAACTCCCTGCTTGCCACACACTCCCTGCAACATCTCAGCCTTTGAAATGTACAAAAGCCCCAGTGGAGCTCTTGCACATTTCAAAAGGAAGCCCTGCAGGGAGCGCAGGGCCAGCAGCGGAGTCCCCCACTGGCCTCATGTTCCCTGTGGAGCTTCTGTTTCTGAAACATACAAAAGCCCCACTGGGGCTCTTGTACATTTCAAAAGCAGACTCATAGCAGAAGTGTCACAAGTGAGATTGCTTCGGTTTTTGCTTGCTCCGTTTTCCACTGTGCCTCTACCTCCTCTGCCCCTGGCGGAGATGGTGCTGTGGGGAACTGGTTTTTAAGCCAGCTTCCCCCAGCATCAGCTCCTGCCCCTCCTCCCTCCTTGCTGAATCTCTCTGAAAGAGGCAGCAAGGCAGGGGAGGAAGCGACTAGTTGCATCACCAGTCGACTATCCAATAAACTAATGCTTATCAGATATTTGACTAGTTGCTCACATCCCTACTTCTAGTACAGTATACATGTTACTTATTCTGTTGTAACAAATTTCATAACTGAGTCCTCCTGTCACATTGTGTGTACATTATCCAGTATCCAGCACAAATTCTCATGTGTATCAGAATTTATATTTAAAAACATAATGTTGGATTTTACAATGATACACAATGGGGCAAAGCCAGCCCCTTGACCTTCATGACTGCACTGGTCCAAAGTAATCTACTACCCAAGAGATGGGAGGACTATATTTCAGGGAACTCCATGAAGTGTGATGGAGAGAAATGGGGAGCAGTTGAAAAGTCACAGTTAGCATGAAATAGGAAAACACATGAAAAAACCAGTCAGATCACAAACAGAGATGGAGAAACCATGAACTGATGACCAAATTTGGAAGGAAATGCAAGGGAATTTTCTATAAGAACAATCCAGCTGAGCAAATCCATGCTGATGGAATTACTCATCAGGAACGTTAGAAATGAGCAGAACTAAGAAACAAAGATAAAAAACTTTGTGGTCTTAAAATATTTCCATTAATACGACATGGCTGAATTCAGTACTTTTGAAACACATGTAGAATTCAGCCATGTTGTATTAATGAAAGCCAATTTATTAAACTCACTTTAAAAAGCAGCTCTTTTGTCTTATCTAGGCAAGAATATAGAAAAGCACAGGATTTTCAGATAGTTGCCAAAATAGTCATACATACTTTTATTATGACCTTGTGCATATACACTGCTTTTCATTTGCACTGCATTATAGAAGAATTAATGCATTACGCCTTAAGACACACTTCTGTGCTGGGTAGATTAGAAAGTCTTACTTTGCTAGCAAAAGGACAATGGTAAAGAATAGCAAGATGTTCACCAAAGACTTACGGCAGATGGCTCCACCTCCACAATGTATCATCACTGAAAGTCTCTCTTTTTATCAACAGGAATAATTTAAACGTACATAAAATGTGTATTTATATATGTAATGAGTGTACACACACACACAAGCATCAGTATAGGTACATTTCCTTTTCCAAAATTCTCCCAGTTAAGAGTATTTAAATTGATCAATCACTTCCATGCCAGTATTTGGGGAAATGAGGATACCTGGAGGTTGTGTTCCTCTCTCACCAAATATGTGAGGCTCTGAACACAGCAGGAAAGAGGTGCATACTGGCATGGTGCAAGAGAATGGTGGATTGTGGAAACTGGGGACAAAAGGCATGCGGGGTCATAAACAAAAGAACTAGCAAAGAACATGATGGGTAGAGCTCTGAATGAGACGGGATGATAAAAGTTGACTTAGCGGTCTATAGCTATACTTGTTAAATGTTTAAATGAGTAACTTTTTTTTCAAAATGTAATGTTTTAGGGATACTATACAGACTCTACTGAAACACACAATCAACCTTAACCTTTTTAATCAAAAAATTAATATACAGTAAACTTCCGATAATCCAGCACCTTTAGTACCCAGGGGGTGTTGGATTATCAAATATGACGAACTATTGGAAGGCGGGTGTCAGGGGGCTCCCCCCTGGTTTGGGGTTGCCGCCCCCATCCAGGGCATTGTTCGGCTCACCTGGGCCTAGCCCCAAAGTGCAATGCCCCTCTTTTAGGGGTAATACAGCCCACTGGCCTAGTCCCCAAAGTATGCTGCCCCGTATCAGGGGAAATACGGCCCACTGGCCTAGTCCCAAAGTACGCTGCCCCTGTATCAGGGGAAATACGGCCCAATGGCTTAGTCCCAAAGTATGCTGGCTCTGCAGCCTAGTCCTCGGGCCGAGCTCCCCACTTTCTACGGTTCTGGGCAGCGGGGGTAGAGGGGCCCGGGCCCTCCCTCTCCACCGGGCCCGACCCAGGGCCCTATGAGTGGCGGGTGGCTCCCACCATTGGCTTGGCGGGGGGTCCTCCCCGCAACGCACCGAGCCCTCAGGGGCTTTTCCAGCTCCCTGCCCTGGGTCACTTCCTACCCCCTGCCCCCGGCCCGTACCGGTCCCGCCTGTTGGCGTTGGTCGGGTGGCTGTAGCGACACTTCCCCGGTCAGCGTCGGGGTCGGCAGCGTCCGGTCTGGTGCCTGGGTCACGGGGGGGGGCGGGGGGGCCTGGCGCCGGGGGGGGGGCGCCCGGCTTGGGCCTGGCAGTGGCGCATTCAGCAGTCCTGATGACTCCTTCTCTGGCAGTTGGGTGCTAGCTCCAGCTCAGGCCGCGGTCTGCCCCTTCTGAGCATGCCAGCAGCCTTTTATACCTCTGCTCCCCTTGGAGCATGCCCAGTAGGGCTGTGTGGGTGGGGCTCTCTCTGCTCCTGGCACCTAGTGGTTTCCCAGGGCTTGAGTGCGGGGCGGGGCCGCCCCGTCACAGGGTTAAAATAAGGATGTATGCAAAAAAAAAAGTATTGTTTAACAATGTCACACCAGCATTATAGCAATGCAAGTTACATTTCAGAATAGTTCCTTATTTACTAAGGATGTCAATGTGTAGGTGAAACTTTAAAAACAACTAGTAGTCTGTCAGTGCCTTAGAGACTAACAAAACATGTAGATCAAAAGGAAAAAAAATATGTAGCACTTTAAAGCCCAACAAGATAGTTTATTAGGTGAGGAGCTAAGAAATGGGTCTGGCCCACAAAAGCTCATCACCTAATAAACTATCTCGTTTCGCCCCCGGCCTCCCCCGATCCACCCGCTGCTGAAACTGGCCAGCAGCTGACTCAGGGAAGCCCGGGGCAGAGCACCCCAGCTGCTCTGCCCCTGGGTTCCTGGAGTCAGCCGCTGGTCAGTTTCAGCAGCGGCTGAATCAGGGAAGCCGGGGGCAGAGCAGCTCCAATTGTCCAGCACTTCCAGGATCCAGATGGTGCCGGACCATCAGGAGTGCCAGACCATTGGGTGCCCGACCACTGGAGTTTTACTGTAGTATCTAGTGACACACTCATCAATTATTTTGCTAAAAGCAAGAAACAATATGTTTTAAAAAAGAAATGTATCTTTATGTTATAATGGTTTTGGTGAGCTAATTAATTAAAAGCTGTTTTTTTATCTCAGGGTACGTCTACACTGCACAGTTATTTTGGAATAAGCTATATAGCTTATTTCGAAATAGCACGTCTACACTGTAGTGAAGCCTCAAAATTAGTCCACGGCAGGCTTCACTAATGTAGATGTGCTATCTTCATTTAGAGCCCCAGAAGGAATAACTTAGAATGGCTCTGGTGAGGGGCTATTTCGAAACAGCAGAAGTGGAGTGTCTACACATGCCTTATTTTGAAATAGCTATTTCAGAATAGGCGTTATTCTTCAAAGAATGAGGTTTAGAAGTCAGAATACACCGTCTGTTATTTCAAAATTATTTTGAAATAGCGGAATTGCTATGTAGATGCTCTGATAGTTATTTCGGAATAACGGTCGTTATTCCAAAATAACTTTGCTGTGTAGACACGCCCACACTGATTTTGGTTTGGACAAGGTGATAAAAACACATCTTGATTTTTACTGATTCTCATTCACATTTATCGGACACAAACATTGATTCAATTTTTAAAAGTAACTAGATAGTCCAAAACCTACAAATTGAGGTGAGAATGCACTTCTGGGGTCTGAACCTGCACTCACTAGAGTCAATTGGCACTGTACTATACTACTAACATCAATGTGAGCAAGAACAGAAAACTATTAAATTCATGCAGATACTGTGCATAATTACTTATGATTACAAATATCTTCTGACCACCTATCTGCTGAAAAGCAGACCTTTAACAATATTTTTTGCTGAGTTCCTACCATCTGAAAAATGGTACAGTTAAAGCATTTTTAGCAAACTCTCACCAGTGTGATGTCTCGGGAAGCAGCAGCTGCGCTCATGTGTAAACTAGGTTGCCTGACTGAACTACTACAGTCCAAAGCTCGAGCAAATGTGCCAACCGCACTGGGGAAAAAAAGCAAAAAGATGGGTTAAGTACATTCACACATTTATGTGTTCTCTTATTAAAAGATGATTTTTCAGCATATAAATTCAACATAGCTTGCAAAATAAAAACATACTGTAGCTCTGAGATTACAATTTTAAACATTTATCAGACCTTTAATAATAAAGTCAGCAACTGTTTAAAAAGTCATGATTTCAGTTTCAAACAACAGTGTGCTAAGTACAAAAACAATTCACCATCTTTAGAGCATGAGAACTAAAGACAATTTTGTTTAAGGGCAACCAGACAAAATCTACAACTGTTCCAGTGTGTTGATTGCCTTATCACTGTCAACTCAAGTGCCCTAGTTAGCTTGGATTTTTTTATATTAAACTCTAAATAGCACTTGACTGGTAAGCAAATATCACAAGAAGAAATGTCACAGTGCAGCTCAGACTGTTTTACAGTAATTTCACAGGTAAGATGCAAAAGGAAATTATTAGCATTTCATCCACTTTAGTAACAGGTACTTAATGCTTCCAATAGATAGGCAAAAAGGGGCCATCAGCTTGCAACCATCTAAAATCTGTATTCTTCCCTAAAGATTTTAGGTAATAAACTCAATGTCTCTTTCAGCCTGGTTAATGGAAGCTTTCAGCATTGTTCAACATGGACAGAATTTAAGCATTTATGACAATGCATAACAGGATAAAGGTAAATGCATGTGATATTTCAGAAGAAATCCTGAGCCCAAGGTTTAAGGACTGGTAACCCCACAATACAACAGGGACTGGGGCATTAATGAAAGAGGGTAGAATTCAGACTGAAGACAAGACTAGGGGGTACCTTAACTCACTGTTTTCTGGGGGTTTTAAAACAGATTTAAGTATAACGTGTTTGATGCTGTGATAGGGTCTTAGGCTCTTAACTCTGCATTAACAATGCTTCCCTGTTTGTTTGTTTGTTTGTTTGTTTGTTTGTTTGTTTGTTTGTTGAGGAAGATGTTGTGGCAAGGGGGGTATGACAAGGATCACCTGAGAGGGCAAAGAGTAGGTCTGCTTTAACACCTCACTGCCACTCAGCTAACAGTTCTGCCCTCATCCTCAGCCCACCATACCCTCAGTAGAGTTGGAGGGGCCATGGGAAGGAAAGAAGATGGTAATGAATGGGCTGTAACAATTACATCTGCCACTTTATACCAGGATCTTCCATTTCAGTAAGTGTTAGAAAGTTCTACATAAGTCTTTTGGGAAAGGTGAATAAAAATCAATCATTTACATTAGAAATGTCTATGTTGATATTTAAATTATAATAAGTTTCTCTTTGTAAAAATAAACCTGTTTAATATGAAATCTGAATTTAATGAAAAAAATATGGTAAGGCTCACAATTAGCATAATCACTTAAAACATTTAAATAAAAATAAATATGCCGAATTAACAAGCTTCTATCAAAAACTTGGAATTAAAGGCTACTTCTCCATATAAAGAAAGCATCAGGGGAAAACATCTAACTTTTTAGATCAAGTGTTACAAATGTGACAATAGGTCATACAGTGTAGTAATGGCTTGATAATGCGTGGCACGGGCTGTTTAACTCAGCACAAGAAATTGGCTAGGCCATGACAGGTGCTGGCACCCAATCTCTGATTCCAGAGACACCATCAGTATCTTATCAGGAGTGCACCTCTGTGCATATCAGTCATCTCATATTCCTAAATTCATTGCTTCTCCCTACCTGGATTCTGATTGGCTTAGATCTCAAATTATGAACATTTATGACTCCACTCATCATGGAAACATACTCTCCAGCTCATGGAAAAATACTGATTTGTCCAGTAAATACCAACCCTTGGGGTTCTGGATGGGTCTAGGCACTTCAAGGAAATGGCCTTGCTCTTCTGCTTGTAGGTTTACTCCAACAGAGATACTTCTTAACTGTCTCCTTGTCTGTGTCTAAACACTTAAAAACTGCCATTCACAAGGCATGTGGATTCCACTAGCAGAAGTCATGGAGTGTTTTCTGGGGGTAGGAGTGGGGAATTAAATAGCAAGGGAGCCTGAGCAGAGTGTGCCATCAGAAACAAGCAACACTGCTGTGAAAGCAGGAAACTGAGGATGTGTTTAGACTATAGGGTTTTGTCGACAAAAGTGGACTTTTGTCAACAAAACTATAATTGCGTCTACACTGCTGCTGAGTTCTGTTGACATAACGTAGACAGAACTCAGAAGTTTTGTCGATGGCTGTAAACCTCATTCTACAAGGAATAATGCTGTTAGTTGACAGAGTTCTGTCGACAGAAGGCGTTATTGCATCTACACTGTCCTTTGCATCTACCCTGTCATGTCGACAAAGCGGCTTGCTTTGTCGACAGAACTGGATGTAGTCTAGACACTCTTTGTCGATAGAGCTTTGTCGACAGTATCTGTCGACAAAACTTCTGTTGACAAAAGCCTGTAGTCTAGATGTAGCCTGAGGGAAGAAGGAACAACATTCCTCAGAGTGCAGCCTCACTTGTTTACTTCAACATTGGAAAATGAACCAAAAAAACCCTCTCATGGCTGCTGGCTATAAATAAGACCCCATGCAATGATTTTTAAGAAACTCCTGTGCCTTTTGATGAAAAAGGAACACATGCCGAAGTGTAAATAGTATAGCAAAGACATACAAGACCAGGTTGTCAGAATGAAACATTAGGAAAAATGCTCTTCATAAAGCAATACCTTTAAGATGATGATGTGATCATGTCTGAACAATTTAGTTCAACTGGCCAGTAAACTTATTTTAGCACCATTCTTATGGATTGCCTCCCACATCTTGTTATGCTAGTAAAAGATATCTTAGATTACTGTTAGATATTTGGATTCTGGGTAAATACTTATGAATTGAAAAATGTTTGTGTTCAAAATATAATTGGTATGTTAGTTTGTTGTGGGAGTATTTATCAATTACATTGTTTACTGTTACTGTTGAACCTCTGAAATGTTTTTTATTGATTGGTGTAATCTAATATCCTAAGTGACTATTTTCTGTTTAATTAAACTTTTATTAGGCACTATGAATTTTTTAACATTTTAAAAACTGTGGCTTTTTTTTCAAGCTGTTTGGTATGTCGCTAGAAATAATGGTTTAAAAAGATTCAGCTAATTCTGAAGGTGAAAGTAGCTTGTAGACATGAAGGGGAGGGGGAGATTGTTGTAATAAGTCATACAATGTCTTTATTATGATCATGATTTTTCGTATCTATCAAAGTTATTAATATAAATTCATAGGCTCATCTTCAGAAAGTATTCAGCAGGTTTCCTGTGAGGATAAGAACCAATAGGTCATATATATACAGAGAGAAAGTATCACTTTACCCTGAATGGTCCCTTACAATATTTGCTAGCTACTCAAGCTAAACTATCTGTTCCATCTTGTATTTAGTTGTGACACTCCAAGTACCTTTTATAGACCTGAGAAAGAGATGAATGTAGGTTGAAAATGTGTCTCTTTCATCAACAGAAGTTAGTCTAATAAAAGATATTACCTCTCACACCTTGTGTTTCTACATATCAGGCAATAAGGCCATGTCTCCACTTAATGAACAACAAATGCTCTGGTGATCGATCTTCCGTGGTTCAATTTAGCGGATTGAGTAAAGACCACTAAATCAAATGCTGAGGATACCCTCACTGGTGCCAATATTCCTCACTGTCACGGGGAGTAAGGGAAGTAAATGGGAGCTTTCTCCCATTGTCCTCCCACTGTGGGTCAACCCCAGTAAATTGATGCAAGGTACGTCGACCCTAGCAACACAATTACGTAAGCTGGAGTTGCGTATCTTGCACCAATTCTCTCCACCAGTGTAGTTCATAATTGAGACCAGAAAAATCCAGCAAGATTCAATAGATGAAATGACTGCTCAGTTTATTTATGGAACAAATTCTCCTTTTGTCTTGTCCTGAACAAATATTCACTGACTTAGTTCAATCATTACAACCAGGCTACACATTCCACTCAGCAGAGCAGACATTACTGGAAGGCTGCTGGATACAGTGTCTGAGAAGCAAACCAAACAACAAGCAAAAAAACTGAAGGGAAAACTGCTCTGTGTCCTGATGCCTGGAGCGATGTTCACAATGATTCAATAATATGTTCTGGTGTGACAGTAGAAGATGGGGGTTGTCTATTCACAGAAACAACTGATACATCAGGAAATGCTCATATAACAGAATTTTTAAAATAAGAAGTAAAAGCTATGACAAATTATGGACAAAAACTCAAGCATCAAATGTGTTGCTTTGTTGCAGACAATACCACAAATGTAACAAAAATGAGAAGCAATCTTGGGAGATAATAATGAAGGGAACCTGAAATTTAACATATAGTTGTAATGCTCCTTTGATGCATCTTTTAGGCAAAGACTTAAGTACTGCCCCAAGAATAAAGGAAAAAGTTGAAATTGCAAAATACTTCCATTATACCCACTTTGCTTTAGATTCACTGAAGAGAGCAGGATTCAAACTAATTCTCCCCCAAAATTCATGATAAAACTCAGTGGTTGGCTGTTCTAAACTATTTATTAAGAACTGCCCTACTCTGATGAGAATTTGAGAAGAAAATCATGCAAAATAGATTAATCTATTTCAGCCAAAGTAGTCAACATCAGACAAACGAGAAATGTAGAAATATGCTGAACATACTGCAACCTACTTCCATAACCTTGGACAAACTGCAGGGAGAATTTCAGGAGGCACTGGAGAAAGAAATACCCCACAACAAAGTTAAACTGCAAATAGCAAAGAACAGATGGGATCAAGCACTTACTCCACCTTGTTTTCTTGCCAATATTCTAAACTCAAAGAATCAGGCTAGATGCCTGATGCTAGAACGCCTATGGAAGAAATTGGTGCAATAACGGGGCATCTAATACTCACCCAAACATTCCAACAATCATACATTTCAGGTCGAAACTTAAACTATTCATGCAGCACGTGTTTGCTGATGATCTTTAAGGAAAGTCACACCATTTTCAAAAG